TACAAAAAAAATAACATGTTAGGAAACATTCCAAAAATTTATCCTAATTACTATAAATACTCCATATATGACAAGCCTGGGAAAACATGATTGGTAAAAGATTATCTATAAAAACAACCGTGGTTGTGACAGTTGGATATCAGGGTGGAAGAGAAGTGACTTAGATCCCTATCTTACCCTTTATCTTACAATTGCCAGCTGCATCAGAGTAAAACAAGAAGTAAGGGTGGAATAAATAGGTGGAGCACAGATTGTTAGGACAGTGAAACTACTCTGTATGATACTACAATGGTGGATACATGGCATTATACTTCATCAAAAGCCATAGAATGTACAACATCAAGAGTGAACCCTAATGTAAACGATGGACTACAGGCAATAATGATGTGTCAGTGTGGGTTCACTGATAATAACAAATGCACCGCTCTGGCGCTCAATGTTGGTGGAAGGTCACGCGTGTGTGGAGACAGGGAACTCTGTACTTTTCACTCAATTTTGCTGTGAAACTAATATTGCTTTAAAAAATTCATTTATTTTAAAAAACTAGAAAGCAGAACATTTGTTTCAAAATGAGGAATGTACTATTAAAGAAATGTACGTTTTTCTTAAGGACAAAATGGAGAGGTGGAAATTTTTTTGAATATTTTATTTAAAAATATCGAGTCATTAAAGATCTACAGAGTAAATATATGTAATAACCAACAAAAACTCACTGTCCAAAACACAGTTTAAAAGATGTATACGTTTCATAAAAATTTGAAAATAGCCAGAATGTTAACTATTAAGCATTGTATTAACACAATGAAATCCCATATAATTGTTAAAATAGCATGAATGTGTGCCATATTGGTATATGAAAATGTGTTTTTGAAATATCATTAAGGGTCAAATAAAATTTCATTTCGTTGGACTTTTGGTGAGAAAAATAATTTTCACGATGGCTCAATAGTGAGCTAAAGGAACTATAGTTCCTTTTTTTAAAGATAAAAGAAATCCTTTAAGAACTTAATGATGCATAATATTGATTCATTCAGTCATCAACTATCATCCAGACTTCTGCAGTCCTCTTCTGACTGGTCTCCCTCCATTCTTGCTCCCATTAAGACTATCTTCCTCAAAGCAGCCATAGTGACCTACCGAAAATATAAACTGGTGTTATTTGTCTACTTCAAACTCCTTCTTTGATTTTTTTCCATTTGATTATTTGATTCTCTTTTCTTGCTTACAAATAAAGCACAAGTTCACTTCATATGGCATATAAGACCCATTATAACCTAGTTCTTCGCCTCCCTTACAGCTTAGTTTTCTTTCAAATTTTATAGTCTAGTAATTTTTAACTGTTCCGTGTTCAAGTTTATGCCATACCATTTCATGATTTTGTGACATTGCTCATACTTTTCCCATTTCCTGGCATATGCTCCCCACCTTTCTTTACCTATCTTATACAAATTCATCCTTTAAGACAGTTCATATATCAGCCTCCAGGCCGAGTTGGAAACCTCTTCTTGGATTCCATAGCATCCTATACATACTTTATCCCAGCAGCCACCAAATCATATTGAAATTATCTGTTTATAAGTCTGCCTTCCCCATTAAACCACAAGTTTCTTCTAGGCAGAAGCCATGTTTAGTCACAAATGTCCTGCCTGCATCATTTCAGTGCCTGCAATATAGCAGGCACTTAATAAGTATAGTGAATACTTAATAAATAATCTTCCAGGTACTGCAATAGAAACTAGTGAACTTCAAATATTCCATTTTCTGCCA